AAGGAAAATAAAATAGATGAAAAAATGATATAGACGCGTTTTTTTTATATCTACCGTTGCTAATTTGCATACCGTTTTATATTCTATTTGGTATAAACAGACGATTATTAATTTCTTAAAAATTTATATTTCCTGGCTGCACCGCATGGCAAAAATCAATCAGATTTTACTCTTCTAAAAAAAATCAATGTTACATAAACACTTACCGGGATTTTGATCATTAGCGTCAATGGTCGCGGATCGAAGGAAACGCCGCTTCCGGGAGCAAGGGACGACCGCGCGACCACGCCGGGGCGGAGGCGGAGGCTCGGGAATTGTTATAAATCTGTTTTGAGTCTGTGTATTCATGTATATATATATATATAATATATATATATATATATATATATATATATATATATATATATATATATATATATATATATATATATATATATATATATATATATGAATGTATGTATACAAGTATTTGTGTGTATATATATGTGTGTTTAATTACACACACACACACACACACACACACACACACACACACACACACACACACACACACACACACACACACACATATATATATATATATATATATATATATATATATATATATACATATACATATATATATATATATATATATATATATATATTATATATATATAATATATACATATACATATATATATATATATATATATATATATATATATATATATATATATATATATATATAATATATATATACATATATATATATATATATATATTATATATATATATATATATATATATATATATATATATATATATATATATATATATATATATATATATATATATATATATATATGTATGTATGTATATGAATATACATTTATATTCACACACACACATATATGTTCGTTTGTAGCACAAAACAAACTCAACAAAAGAAAACACCCACAAAATCACCATCAAACAACCCCCCAAACATGTCCCTTCGCATCCTCCACACCCAAAACCACCTCGTGCTCCCACCCACAACCCCCACCCCCTCCACCCACAAACCCCCACTTACTAACATCCCCTCATCCCCTCTACCCACAAACACCCCATCCCTCCAACCACAAACATCCCCCTCCCTCCACCTCCTCTCCTCCGCCACCAACCCTCCTCCCACCCACCCCTCATGCGCCACACACAACCCTCCGCTCCACCCACAAACAGCCACCTCCACCACAAAAGCCACACACCCCACCCACCCTCCACCCACCAAACACCCCCCACAAACCACTAAGAAAAGAAAACAAAGAAAAGCGAGTCGGAGATTGTTCGCGGAGTCTCTCAGCCCGAACATCTGGCAGTGAAGGCTGGAGTGCCTGAAGGACCCTCGAGTGCACGGCCGAGTGAAGGGCGAACCGCCCAAGGAGGACCTCGAGCACGTCGCGTGTGCTAAGGATTCCCTCCCGCAGAAGGATGACACTGAGTGGTTTTGGGGGCGGGGATCAAATTTTTTGGAGGGGGTGGGGTGGGGTGGGAGTGGGAAGGGGGAGGGTAGGTGTGGGAGGGGTAGGAGTGGGGGAGGGGGGAGGGGAGTGGGAAGGGAAGGGAGGAGGGTAGGTGTGGAAGGGGAAGTGGAGGGGGTAGATTTCGAGAGGGAAGTAGGAGTGGGAGAAGGGGAGTGGGAGAGGGGGTAGGAGTGGGAGGGGGTAAGGATTGGGGTTGGGAAGGGGACAGGAGGAGGTAGGAGTTGGGGAGGAGGAAATAAGACGGGGAAGGAGAGACTAGGTGGAGCGTAGGAGAGGGTAGGAGGATGTAGGAAGGGGGTAGGGAGGTAGGTGGGAGACAGAGAGAGCAGGGAGGAGGGAGGAGGGGTGGGGATTGTTCGGGCAAGAGAGGGGATGGGGAGGGATAAGAGGGGGGAGAGGGGGTGGGGGGATATTCAGCGGGGCGCGAATGCTTGTACTTGAAGCGGAAAGGAGGGTGTAAAGGCAATGGGGGAAGGGGGGGGGGAGACGGGGATGGAGGAGGAAGAAGGGAGGAAGTGTGGGAGGAAGAGAGGAGAAAAAAAAGTGGGGGGGAAGAAGAAGAGAAGGAGGAAAGAATAAGGAGGGAAAAGAGAGAGAGGAAAAGGGAGGAGGATGGGAAAGGAGATAGGAAGGGTGGGTAAGGAAAAAAGGAAAAGGATAGATAGAAAGGCGAGGAAAGGGGGAAGAAAGAGAAGGAGAAAGGAGGGGTAAAAGGATAGATGAAGGAAAAAGTCATATAACGGAGGAAAGAGAAAAAGGGGGAATTGAAAAATGAAAATAGAAGGAAGAAAATAAAATGGAAAAAGAGGAATAAGGGAAGATACAAGAAAGAAAAGAATAAGAAGAGACAGACAGGGAAAGGGGTGAGGTAAGGGAGAAAGGGGGGGTGGAAGGGGGGGGGAAGAGAAGTGCCGGGGGGAGATAAAGGAAGACACAGGGAGGGGGGTAAAAGGAGGAAGAAAGAGCCAAGATTAGATCAGGACGAAGGGGAAGTG